CTAGCTTATATTAACAAATTCGAGTCTATTCAATTCCCTCATCTCTCCGAAGTTTCTAGACAAATTTGGTGTGGATATGAAGATCAAAATATCTTCATATTTGCCTCCTACATATCGTCTATAGAAAATTTTATTACAGATGCTGAATCTTGAATCGCGGATACCGACATTAAGTGGTCTTTACCGGAGACAGCTTTTCGCCGGGTGACAGGATTCTTTGGATGTAGTCAGTCTTCTTTTGATGTAGACTTATTTGCGAATAAGTGCGATGGATATATATCTTGGTTTCCGAACAGGGTCAATTGCTGTAGATACTTTTACTCTCTCTTGGAAGAGACTTAGTTTACAGGGAAGCGTTTAAAGCTTGCTTAGTGCTGTTAACAGCGCTACCAGCTTTACTAACCTCTTTTTTGGATTCGACGATTAAACAATATTCCCAATCGCTTCGCTTCTGGTGGAATTTCTGTCAGCGTCAGCGGATATCTCCATATTTTCTACCCATCGCTGAAGTATTAGAGATTTTAGCTCAGGAGTTACCTAACACCTCTTCATATTCAAGTTTAAACACCAGGGTATCGGTAATTCTTTGATTTCCCAGAATGAAGTTAGAAATCATCCTATAATTTATTAGACATTTCTGTAAAGGAGTATCAGTATTAAAGCCGTCTCGACTGCGATATGATTTTGTTTTGGATCCGTCTCCCGTAATATCTAAACTGTCTTCTATTTATCCATATGAGGGAGTCTCCTTGAATATTATCACTAAGAAATTAGTACTTCTCCTCGCTCTCGGTTCTGGTCACCGTGCTCAAACTCTCGCTCTGCTAAGAACTTCGCAAATTTCATTGAATGAAAAATTTTTATTCGGGTACCTAACTGAATCAAAACATTAGCGCCGAGTCGGTCTCAACCCTACTTGCTTTTCTTCCGTTTTAAAGATTATGAGAATCTCTGAATTGTTCACCTCTTGGAGTATTATTTAAATAGGACCGAAAAATTGCGTTCTTCCACATGCGATTTTTTATTTATCTCGCTTTCCTAACCACACAGGGAAGTTTCTACGCAAACGATTAGTCGCTGGATTCATAGAGGTTTAGACGATTTTGGAATTGACACTTCCATATTTTCAGTGCACAGTATCCGACACACTTCAACGTCACGTGCTGTGTTAAAAGGTGTTTCGCTCGACATGATTAAATATGCGGCAGGCTGGACCGGCATATCTTGAGTCTTTGCCAAGTTCTATAGATACTTAATTCAGAGGACTTCAGCAGTGCGATTTTGCAATCATAAATTGGCTTAACAGCGAATATTGGAGAAATAGTATATATCTTATTTTTTATTCTGCAGTTCACTTTTTATAAAGGTCTCTTTTCACCTCAGATTTTTATTTTATGTTATAGACTTTTACGTCTACATAGTTTTTCTTTACGTTTAAGTTTAAGTCTTCCTTGGCCAGTATAAGCCAGGCTCCTGGGCTATAATTTAATTTTATCATATTTTACCTTAGTATAACCTTGTTTATTATATCGTTTTTTTATAGACTTCTCTATTCTTTCAGACATTTATTTTTACTTGACTATTAAGATATTGGATTGTCGGAAAAGTCATGACGCATTTTTTCAACAGATGGCGCTAATTCATTTTTGGAAGTACTAGAGTCATTCGCATCTATGTTATTGCTATGTCATTTGACAGCTGATATTTCTAGCTTCATTCCAACAAAAAAATTGAGCGATTTGGTTGAGTTTTGGAGATTTTATAACAAGTTGAAGATGGAAAACCAAACTGTGCATTTTCGCCATATTACTGTTTTACTTCCGTAAAGGGAAAAACACGCGTCAAGCTTGTGAAAAGTTGCGTAAAGTTTACGGTGACAATGCTGTACAAGAACGTCAATGCCAATGACGGTTCACGAAATTCCGTGTTGATGATTTTGATCTCAAAGGCGCTCCTCGGTACGGGAGGCCTATAGAGGTTGATGACGACAAAATAAAGGCATTGATCGAGTCAAACCCACGACACAAGAGATTGCAGAAACATTGAACATCCATCATTTAAGCGTTCACGACCACCTGAATAAGTTAGGATACGTAAGCAAGCTCGATATTTGGGTTTCTCATGAACTCAAAGAAGTTCATTTGACGGCGCGTATAAACATCTGCGATATGCTCATTAAACGTGAGGAAAACGATCCTTTTTTGATGCGACTAATAACTGATGATGAGGAATGGATTGTTTACAACAAAACAATGTGGTGCGTAAACGGTCTTGGTCCCGACGTGATGATTTGCTTCAAACGACATCGAAAGCAAACATTTATCAGAAGAAGGTTATGCTCTCAGTGTGATGAGATTTTAAAGATGTCGTATTTTTTGAGCTTCTACCAAGAAACCAAACAATTCGAATGTGTACTGTCGGCAATTGGACAATTTGAACGAATCCATCATCCAGAAACGTCCAGAGCTCGTTAATTGTAAAGGAGTTGTGTTCCATCACGACAACGCGAGACCACACACAAGTTTGATCACCCGTCAAAAATTATTGGAGCTTGGATGGGATGTGTTGCCACACCCACCATACTCGCCTGACCTTGCGCTGTCAGACTTGGGAGCGGTGCACTTGGACACGGTGCATTTGGACACAGCCAATCACAGCACCGTGTGATTAGAGACATTTGTAGGGTTCCTTGGAACAGCGACTTGTGATTGGACTGTGTCCAATTGCCCCGTGTCCAACTGATATACACCCGTCAGACTTCCACTTGTTTCGCTCTCTTCAAAACTTCTTGCATGCTATAACATTTAATTCAGATAAGGCTGTAAATCAGTACCTTGTTCAATTTTTCGCCGATAAAGACAGATCCTTCTATCAACGAGGAATTATGAAGCTCACTGAAAGATGGCAAAAGGTTATCGAACAAAAAGGGTAATATATCATTGATTGATCTTTGTTTTTTATATAAATAAATGACCTTTGAGAAACATAGAAAAAATTCGTCATTACTTTTCCGACAATCCAATACATATTCTAGATGTTCTTCCCGGCGGCAAATCGATGGGATTTAAACAGCTATATAGTTTCCATCTGGACGAGACAACATGAGCATAATTGTTAAATTGAATGAACTTACCAGTGAAGTTCGATTCTAATTATGCCCGTTGTCTCGTCCGGATGGACTCCCACCCGTCACTTATTTTCCCATCCCGAGGATAGCGATTTGCCTGGAATTGATTTGAGCGATTTGAGACTTATGAGGAAACAGTATGCGCGCGGCGCTCGCATAGCGCTCGCGACTGCGGGTGCTGCTGGATGAGCGGCGGCGCGCTTTTTCATTTTGGCGGTATCTTTGAATTCTATTGTCAAAGAGCGTGCAGGAGCACCATTACATAGTTTCCATCCGGACGATACAACGGACATAATTAGAATCGAACTTCATTGGTAAGTTCGCTCAATTTAATAAGTCTACAATATACTAAAATAGATACTGAAAAAATTAGCAAACAGACTCCTGACGGAAGGTAATGCTTGCGAATCACACGCAAAATGTTCCAAAACATATTGTAGGATCCAAGATGAGTTAATTTGGCAGCAGCGAGTCTTGACGTTATATATTTGTATTTACTTATTTACCTGTCGCAAAAGTGTATTGTATTGTCGCGTTCAAAAAAAGTCGGGAGCGATGAGTCACGCGAGTTGTGCGTGCTCGCGAATAAACATACCGTGTGAGATATGTAGAGATGTTATGATCCGACGTTTAAATCGAACCAATAAGGAGCGGCCACAGAAAATCCAAAAGTGACAGGATTAACAATAAAAGGCTCGGAGAGGTACAGTGAGAGGGCTTTCTCTTCTTCTCTCTTGCTCGGGTCTCTCTAATCGGTCTCCACGAAAATTTGACGTTGTATCCCGATATACGAAATATATATTCTGGTCACAAAGAATGAGCTGATTAGTCTCTAGTACCTGAGAGTTGTATTTTCCCATTTATTTCTCCCTCTGCTCAATAGATCCTATAATATTTAAAATCTAAAAGATCTATTGTGTGAAAATTACAAGTTTGCAAGTATATCTTTTATGTTTATAAACATTAACGATTCTACATATCAGCAACGTTGTGTTTATTCCTCACTTAGTTGACTTTTGACGATGGAAGTGAGTGATAATTGCACGAAGTGTTGCATTACTCTGCGACAAGCATTAGATATCTTCTCATATAACAGCTATTGATTTTTTTACAATGCTATAGTGCTATACCTATTTGTTGATGTTGTGTACTTGCAATGAAAGTGCAACATTTAATGAAAATTTAATATGGAGATGCCAGAGACGAAACAAAGAAAAACGTCGAAAAACATACATTTATTCACGTTGTAACTTCTTCCACTCGTGGCGTAAGGGAACGTGGTTTAGTAATGCACATTTGTCTCTGACTGACATGTTGTCAATTTGTACAGTATTTACTGCTATCTCCACCACATGAAGTGTTTCTGGAGAACGAATTCGGAATTAGGACGATCAACGATTGTGGATTGGACAAATTTTATAAAAGAGGCATTGATCTATTGGTCAGAAAAAAATACATCAACGATAATAGGTGGATCAAATATTATCATATAAATAAATGAAGCAAAATTTGGCAAACAAAAATATAATCAAGCCCGAATAATTGACGGTACATGGTGTTTTAGTGGTTTTGAACGGAATAGTAGAAAATTCTTCGTTGAATTCGTACAACGTCGAGATATTAATACACTTGAAGAAATAATACAACGTGTAAAAATAATGTATCGTATAAAACCAGGATCGATTATTATAAACGATTATTGGAAAACTTACAATAATCTAAGTAATTTAAGTAGAACAATCCGTATTTATACGGTTTTGCAATTTAATATGCATATAATTAATGATATTATCTGTATACTATGTATTAAAATCGAAATAATCCGAATGATGTTAACTTTCCTAAATTACGCTTTCTTTTTATTTCATTGCAGGTTATCGTCATTTGAGAATAAATCATAGTCAAAATTTCATAGATCCAGGTACTGACGCTTATACACAAAATATCGAGCGATCTTGGCGTGATATGCGCGATCTATTACCAAAGTATGGTCGAAAAGAGGAACATATGGCCGGATATATAGCTGAGTTTATGTTCCGACGTACTTTTTCTGACTATTGTGAACGTGTCCATGAATTTTTTTCATTTTTATCAACGTTCCATCCCGACCTTATATCTAATACAAATGATGATTAAAGATATGATATAGAAAAAGTTATGTTTTTGTTTCTTTTATAAATTCTTAATAAAGTTGTTACCTGTTTTAGTTGTTTTTTTGAAGCGTCCTGTTTGCTCACGTCCCGGTTACTCACGTCTAGTCACAACGATTTGTGATTAGCTGATTTGGGTTAGATTAAAAGATTTGGGTTAGGATAAAATTTAAACTTCTATTTTATTTGCATGGAAATTGGCAAACCAGTCAAATAGAATAAATGTACATTGCACTTTAAACGAAAAACAGTAGTCGATGCATAACTAACATGTTCCAATTTTTTCGTATAAAAATCACAAGCCCCCTCATAAAAACTGCTACACATGTCTTTTTGAAGCTAATTTTGTCAAGTATTACAAAAAAAAGCGGTTTTTGATGAAGTAGCACTTCTGAACATTTATCCATAGCTTCTTTTATACTATGGCAAAGCTGCGCAATGACGTCTAGCAATTCGATAACTGTCTGCAAGCACGTATACAGGGTGTTTCAGAAATAGTTAACCAAGCTATACGAGAACGTAGAACGGATTGAAATGAACAAAAAAGTCCCATACCGTTTTGCGATACTTGCAATAAATCTCAAGATATTAATTAAAAAAGATTGGTGAAAGATCACGCGCGACATGGTAGATGAGCTGCAGTGGCGCCGATTGCCGTTGTATATTTATACATTATGTCAAACTGAACAAAAACGTCCTCTTTTGTAAATGACTACATAGATTTTTAGATATTAATTAAAGAAAATTGTTACATGATTGTGTACCATAATGTACAAATTTTCTTTAATTAATATCTAAAAATTTATATGGTCATTTGCAAAATGGTAGAGGACTTTTTTTGTTCAGTTTGACTTAATGTATAAATATACAACGACAGACGGCGCCACTGCAGTTTATCTACTATGTCGCGCGTGATTAGTCATCAATCTTTTTTAATTAACATCTTGAGATTTATTGTAAATATCGCAAAACGGTATGGGACTTTCTTGCTCATTTCAATCCGTTCTATGTTCTCGCAAGATTTGGCCAACTATTTCTGAAGCACCCTATAGAATAGCAGCCATGAGCGTCTGTAAAGTTGACACATTTTACAAATTTAGAAAAAAACAATGATAGTTCTATTAGCACTTTTCATAGTTCTAGAGTTCTAGATAGAAAACAAAAAAAGTTCCGCATTTTTAATACCGAAAAACAGCAAATGGAAAATTATCGTGCTAACTTCGCGAATCTAGCACGACACTTCCCCTCTAAAGTACAAGAAATAAATAAATAACACTACTTTTAGCAAGAGTTCTCGTCAGTTCTGATCGAGTTCTATCAAAATGCCTAATTAGAAAAAAATTTTAACAATTACGACTTTTTCATAAACTTCGAATATTACACTCAGCACAACACTTTCGAGAGAAAATATCATGCAGACTATATCTGACTGCTCTATTAACAGTTCTCGATAGTTCTAATATAGTTCCAGCACCTACGATCAAATTTAAGAAGAGTTCCTGCGTCTACCTATTTTTAAATAATTTTTTAATTTTCGAAGTTAGCACGTCACTCTCGGAAAAAGTGTCGTGTTGACCATTTTTCGCAGTTTTAATAATAGTTCTCGATAGTTCTAGCAGAGTTCTAGTCCCTACGATCAAATTTAAGGAGAGTTCTGGTGGCTACCTATTTTTAAATAATTTTTTAATCTTCGAAGTTTGCACGACACTCTCGGAAAAAGTGTTGCGCTGACCATTTTTCGCAGTTTTAACAACAATTCTCGATAGTTCTAAATATAATAGTAAAAGTATCAAAATTCGAAAAAGGTCCTATTCTGAATATCTATTGTAATTACTAAAGAAACATTCATTACTTTTGTCAAATTGTATATTAGTTTATTTAAAAAAAAAACTATCCGAGTAATTACTTATAAGAATTTTACAACTTTTACAAATTGACATATGATTTAGCAAAAGTATAACTATTTCTTTAGTAATTTTTCCCATAGAATCAATTCCCGCTAGTTTTATAAAAGAAATAAAATTGTTAATAATTTGTTTAAGTAATTATTGATTAAACAAATGAGGAAAATTAATTGTTTTCTATATTTGAGCATGTTTTGATGCCATGTTCTCTGTTTTGCATAGTTACGAAGACACAGATTGTAATTTCGGCTCAGACATTAATGGGTTAAATATGTTATTATGTTTGCTAAGTATTAGGTGGTAAACTTAGTTCCTGCGGTTTTTTTGTTTAAAAAACTCATTTATTTCGACATCAAAAGCAAAAAATACATTAATCGAAGTATTTTCCCTTGCTAGCTATACATTTTTCCTATCTTTCGGGCAACGCGTAGATTCCGCGACGATAGAACGATTGGTCTTTTGATGCAATCCATTCGTCAATCCATTTTCGCACATCCTCGTAATTTCTGAAGTGTGTATCCACCAAGCCGTGCTGCATCGACCGGAACAAGTAATAGTCCGAAGGAGCTAAGTCTGGTGAATACGCTGGGTGCGGGAGAACTTCCCACTCGAGCTGCATCAGTGTTT